CCCAAGGACGGCGACGTGCCCTGATGGCCTGCATGAGACAAGCCTCCGCCGGGCCTCCCATGAGCCCACAAGAGTGGCGCCGATTCCGCAGAGCACAGGCCCCCAGGGCCAGGGAAGTCTTATGATAACCTGGGCGCGGCACCATTCTGGTGGGCCTCGGCATCCTCTTGGTATCCAGCGCACACGGGACAAAAAGATTGGAGGGCGGAAGAAGGAAGTGCACGCCACAATGCTCTGCTCAAAACAAGCACCTCAACCGCCTGAGGGCTAGGTAGAAAGAGCGAGCCACATGGCTCCACTCCACCCCTACGGAATTCCAGGGGGCAGACGTCGAAACCAAGGTTTGCGGAAGTTCTCGCTCACTCTTGGGAATGATTTCGCCCCGGAATGCTTTCCAACAGAGTGCGTCGCCGAGCGCGTTCGAAGCGGATCTGGATCGGGGCGCGCGGCTGCTGCAGCCCGAGGTATGACCCGAAAACCATCAGTCACACAAGTGGGAAGAAGAGTGATGGGGAGGGTGTAAACTAAAGCGATCTGGAAGAAGCAGGTCATCTGTGGATACCTCTTCTATGGCTGGGTGCGTCTTCGACCTTTGGAGGGGTTGCTTGGGGCGAACTTGGGATCCTTTTGAAGACTTGCGGGTTTTCCTTCGGCTCGCTGCCCGCGCCTTCAAATTCTGAAGAAGCGCTGTTGAACAACTTCGGCACCACCGTGCACCATATCTGCAATCGTGCCCCCTGGCACGTTGACGCGTGCTAAAATGCCAAGTTATGTCTGGTAGGGTTTCTGTAACCTTGCTAAGGGCCCCCTGCTTTCCTGGCACGCGCACCAAGCCCATGCACCACCCCCTGTTTTCGAGGCTCTATCGGTGCCCAGACACGTCCCAGCCGCTCTCCAAGGCGTCCAAGACGCCCAGGATGGCATCCCACACGGACCTGGGAAGCTACCGAAGCCGCCAAGATGGCCCACGATGCCTCCGAGACGGCCCACGAGGCCCCAACAAGCCCCAATAGCGCTCCAAGAGGACCCCCAAGAAATCCCCAAGAGGGCCCAAGAGACAAAACCAATTGATTTTCATTATGTTTGTCAACGTTTATCACGTTGTCGCCTTTTTCGAGGTCCGACGCTCCAAGGCAGCTCCAGGGCCCCCAAGAGCGCCCCATGATGGCCCGAGAGGCTTCCGAGAGGGTCTCTAGACGTCCCAGGAGGGCCTCAGAAGAGCCTCGCAAGCGCCCATGACACACAACATTGCCCCCAGACAGGCCCAAGAGAGGCCCAAGAGGGGGAACATACACCGACAATTCGATCCCTCTGCCCGAAGAGCCCCACAGGAGGCCCCAAGAGGCGTCCGAGAAGCCCCAAGGGGGCCCCGAGAGGCCCCCCAACAACCCCCAAACAGCCCCAAAGAGGCCGCAAAACTGCCTCCAATAAGTTCCCGGGAGGCCTCCCACGATATCCCAACGAACATCCAAGATGTTTCCGGTACCCTCTCGAACAATCGCCACCGAGCCTGGTGGACTGCCACGGTGGCGAGACTTGCCGCAGGCAGCTGGATTAAAGAAGGCCCCCCTCTCCTGGAAATCTCTTGGACCTCCTGGGCCGCTTTTGGGGGCCAAGCGCAGTCCTCTGGAACCCTTCTTGGGGCCCCCGTGATACCTTTTGGCTTAAGCCGAGCTGGAGCCCGCGGAGCGAGACCAAGGACTACTCCGCGCCGGAACCATCTTTTTGAGCAGCCCTGCGGACTCTCAAAGACCACAACCCGAAGAGAGCACGGTGGCGGTCTGGGCCGAATCAAAGCCACCACATGTCGCCGCCGCCTACACACTGCGAAGCCCCTCTCATGGGTACCGGGGCACGTGGCGACGGCACCTGGCTCTCATGGGAGCTCGAAACTGCCGCGCAAAGTTCGGCACCGGCGACAACAGTCTGGCACCTTTTCGACTTTTGGACGGCGCCTGGCGACTGAAGATGGCTGCCAGTATGAGTCCAAGTGGCCACAGAGACCCCCGGAGAGGAGTCGAGAGCCCTTTACTCCGTCTGTTCACTGCCGCAACCTACTCATCATACTGATCGATCGTCTCTGATCCATCATCTTGTGACTCCTCCCCCATTCACCTCCTCATCATCATGATCATCGTCGTGATCATCATCACCGTTATCACCACCGCCGCCGTCATCAGCATCATCATCATCACCATCACCCGCGAACTCCTCGTCATCGTCTCCCCACTTCATCCATCCTCATCGTCCTGCTCATGATCACCATCATCGCCAGCACCATCAGCATCATCATCATCATCACCGTCATACGCATCATCATCATGAGCGTCCTCGTCATCATCGTCGTCTGGAACGGTTCGTAGACATGCTACTGTGCTGACCTTCTGAGACAGGATGGCGGGTGGGAGTGAGGGAGACGGCCAGCAGGCGGAATGGATAGTTTGACCCCTGCCCGCCCGCTAGCCGTCACGCTCACTTTTGGCGTAACCATCTCCCCCTTGCCAGTGGTCGTCGAAGCCTCAAGATAGCCTGAAGAGCACCCAGGGGGAACCGAAGAGGGGCTCTGGTGGCCTCAAACCAGGCGCAAGAGCGCCCCTAGAAGGCGATGCGTAGGCTATCGACGGGCAGCCCTGGTTGCAGTTCCCCCTCTTCACTCAATGTCGCATATGGTCGCCCCAAGAGGGCCAACGCGGCCCCCAGAAACATTGCAAAAAACCTCGGGAAGCGCCGAAAACGCACCAAAGAAGCTACCAAGAGGCAACGAAGGGGCCCGAAAGGGCCCCCCCGAGCTGCCAAGCGGCTCAAAATGTCACCTGACCCGCGGAGAAGTCGCCAAGAGATGTCCCAAGAACCTCCATGCATCCAGTAAACCACTGGCTTTTCTGTTCGCCGACCTCCTCTTTGTGTGCCTTTTCCCCTTCCCTCTCCTTTCTCCCTCCTCCATCACCTTCCCGCTTCGAATGATAACGACTGCCCCTCCTTGCTCCCGCACTTGCCTGATCGCACCAACTCGCATGGGCATCGTTTCTAGATGAGCTGGTTGGGGCACGGGACGCGTCAAGCACTTCTCCGATTGCTTTCCATTCGTGTCTGACACTGTCATGAATGTGGCCCAAGCCAGACTCCTGCCCCCCCTTTATCCCATCTGCTCTGGGACACCGCTTGCTGAAAGAGATCAGCGCGCTCACCGCATGCGAGACGTGAGACAGCACTCCCCGCACCGCCGACCCCCAAAACGAACCGTGCCCAAACCGGAACGGGAAACCCTCTCGCAGAAGGAACGAAATGGTTGACCAACAATTTCGCGCCTGTGCCTTGATCAATGAGAACGGGCCAATCACCGCCTCACATCACAAGACACACTCGAGCCGCGTCCAGCCAAGGCAACGAATGCCCCCGACAACGCGACGAAACCTATCGCGGGGGCCCGTGACCCATACTGTCAATCTTTGCCTCCTGCTCATCCCTACTCCCCCTCCTCCTCCTCCACCTCATCATCGTTCCTCCTCCTCCTCCTCCTCCTCTTCCTCCTCCCCCTCCCTCCCCCCTCCTCCTCCTCCTCATCCTGCTGCTCTTCCTCCTCCTCCTCCTCCTCCTCCCTCCTCCTCTTTCTCTTCCTCGTCATCCTCATCCTCATCCTCACCCTCATCTTCATCCTCCCCATGATCATCATCACCCCCACCATCATCATCACCATCATCTTCCTCATCGTCGTCGCAATTGCCATTCACGTCGTCATCATCGTCATCATCAGCAGCATCACCATCGTCGTCATGGTCGCCGTCGTGTCAGCAGGACCATCCTCGTCACCTGGCAACACACTACCCGAAAGACTCCGACCATGATACTCCGCAGTACTCCCGGACGGCATCCGCCGACACCCTTGAGATGTCACCGGCGTGCAACGTACTGCCCCGACTCCACCACCCGAAAAGCCCCAAGGACGACCACGGAACCCTCGGAGAGAACCCCCAAACACCCCGTGCATGCCTGATACCCCCCGCGACAGGGCCCCCCAAACGGCGCCCATGCGCGACGGCCCGCCCAACAGCACCCGAACACAGTTCAAGGTCACCACCTGAATCTTTCCCGCAGCTTGCAAAGAAACCGCGATAACGACCACGCGGAAAAAAAGGGGTCGGCGGATGTGGCGTAAGCCTATAGAATATACAGCGGGGCGTTGACCTAAGGAACCCTAAATAAGGAACGAGGCCCTTTTTTCCATAAATTCACCTTCGACTTCACATCGAAAACTTAAGGAAAATCTTGGGCAAGGTGTGGAACAATCAAGGAACACCGAGCCCCTCCCCAACTAAAAGGGTTCCTTCTTCAGCGCCCCGACTGTAGTTCTCGCTGCGGCGCCGCGCAGATTTCGCGTGAAAGTGGCGCTCCCTCCTCGGCGCGGTGCAGATCCTTCGCTCGAGAAGTTCTGGGCCCCCGAGCAGGCGGGCGACCGGCCGCCCTCGCCTGAGCTCCGTGTGCACCTCGTCTGGAAGCGTCGTTCCCGCGTGGGCGCGGCGCATGCGTCGCTCGCCAAGTCACATGAACGCGGCGGCGGCAGCGGGGCCGCGCGAGCGCGGGCGAACTGCTGTCCTCGCCTAAGCTCCGCGCGGTTTGCGCGTGAAGGTGGCGATGCTCTTCGGCGCGGCGCACGACTCGTCCTTCGCCGCGACCGTCGGGATCTTGGCCGTCCAAAAGGGATGAGCTGTGGTCCCCCCGCAACGCCGCGCAGTGGTTTCCTTCCGTCTCTGCGCGGCCCCCCCCGCAGCTGTCCCTTCGCCAGGTCTTCGCAGCGGGGCCGCGCGCGAGCGTCTTTCGTTCGCTGGGCGGGAGTGCGTTCCAATCCCAATGTGAAGTTGTGCCGCGCTTGATTCTTATGTTATGGGAGGGAGGGTGGGAATGGGCGTGGCCCGCTGACTTGCTCGACCTGCTTCACTTGACCATGACTCCTGCTCCAACTCCGACGTCGTCGTCACCATCATCCATGCAGTGCCCTTGTCCTGTACGCGGTTGTAGCGCCCGACGAAGCCGACGGACACCGATGTAGGCATCACGTCGAAGCATGACCAACCGATGGGCCTCAGTCTCAGGTCCTCGCGGGGGCGGAATCAAACACATACATCCACGTCTGCCACCCTGCACCTTCCGCACGAACATGGGAAGCTCTATGAGGATACGACTGTGTACGCAAGAGACACTCGGCGCAGTAATGCAGGCTTCCGCGATGCTTGCCAGCTCCACAGCCAATGCTGGCAGCATCCAAGGCTCAAAGCTGGCCCACCAACATACCCGACCTCGCAACGATACGCCCCCGG